TTTTTTTTTTTTTTTTCTTTTTCTGGTGTGCCTGCTGGGAAACAGTTCTTCTAATGGGCTGTGGATCATTCTCATGACTGTGGGAACTCTAGTACCACCTACTTTATGGCATGGAGCTATGAAAAAAAGTGATAATGATTATAAAGTATTTCATCTTACATGGATTTCAAATTCAACCAATTCCTGGGGGATTTCATGACTGGTTGAGCCTAGCTGTATCCATTACTAGTGATCGTTATTGGATTGTCCACAGTGGTATTCATGTTTGAATATTTATGGTACACCACAGTCTCCATTCAACAATTTCCCTACTGCAGATCCAGTACCCATTGCTCCCTTGCCCCATCGTATCTTCTGTGCCTTTTAACAAGATAATTAGTGGAGATAGGATTAGTCGACTCCATGTTCCCCCCCTGAAGAGCTTGCAACATGCCCTGCAAGGTGGTGTGCACCTGGGCGTGTTCCATTGCATTCATATTTCTTGTCCTGTTGCCACCCAAGTACACGAGACATTCAGTAGGGACAGGGCACTCCACACTCTTCAGCTCCTTTAGTACTGCTAAGTGCTTAAGTGTGGTCACAATGCCAGATGTGGAGATGACATTGTCACCGAAGACAAGGGAGCGGAGGTGGGAGCAGTTGCACAGGGCTGGCAGGAGGGCTTCAAAATGGGATTCTTTTAACCCACAGCTTCTTAAATTGAGGTACTGCAGGGTGCCTGAGACCTCATTCAGAAGACTCACTAGGGGTCCAGGGACTGTTTGGGACAAGTTATTTTTTAATAATACCAACTTCTTCAGGCAGGTGGCATGGATACTTGTGGCCAAGTAGGCAATATCATCCTTGGTAAGTCTACATTCACTGATCACGAGGGTCTCCAGTGGTCTCTGCAGGCAACTGTGGCGAGACAGGGATAGTTACTCCTTGGAATTTGGCCCTGGACCACTAACTACTTTTAGGAAAGGCCCAGGAATCTGAGCTGGGATATTTGCCTTGCCCCCACCCCCATCTATATAGCAGATAGAGAAGCCAGTCTTCAGCGTTGGTCAAGAACACAAAACTTGGGAGTGATACTGGTTCCCATTTCCAATAGGACTTCTCCTGTATTTCATGGAATCATATTGGGCATGTTGACATCTTTTAGTCTCATCCAGGTAATAGTCATGCAAATACAATGATCATTCATGCTCCAGAAGTTGTGGGAATAATAAATGAAATTTAGATACTATTCCCAATGTTTTACTAATTCAATGTTTATAGGACCCCCAGAAGAATGGATCTTTATCCCAGGGCATACCACTGAGAAGATGTGGGACAATAAGAAGAATTAGTTGACCAAGTCTATCTATTGGGCTTAGATGGCATGAGTGCAATTACCTGTCCAAAAAAACCACCATCACAAATTACCATCCTTTTTCACCCATATCATGGATGTGACCTATAACCTCTAAGGGATGACAGATTATCTTAATTTTTCAGAGTTTTGTCTCTCATTCATAGGTCTATGCTTAGCATCTACTAATTCCTTAAACCAATGAATGAACAAAAGAATGATTGCATGGAAGTGATATCTATACCAGATATCTACAACAGTTAAGAGCTGTTGCCTGGCCTTGTACCCAACGTTTGAGCCTCTATTTAGTAATTCTGAAAACACCAGGCTTATCTAAGCCCTTATGTGGAATGATCAGAGGCATTTTCAAAGTTCTTGGTCCTTCAGAGAACTTTCTACACACTCACCTGAGCATCTTATGTAGCTGCCCTGAGAGATAGCCAAAGATCAGGTGGAGCTTCTTAAGGTGGTCCAAGGAAGTGAGCAGGGAGAAACAGTCAGCAGGGAAATCTCTGGGGAGGTCACGCAGGACAAGGGTGCCTAGGTTGTTCATCTGCCCTACTTGAGCAAAGAAAGGGATTAGGTGTGCTTGGCAGTTGATCATATGCCTGTACTCCAGCCCCACTTCTCGAATGGACTCCAGCTCCAGCATCCTCAAGACTTCTACAAGACTGCAGAATAGCACTTGAGTAATGACTAGTTTCCGACAGCAGAAGCGAAGACAGCCATGGCTCTTTTTGACTCTCTGTAATATGTAAGAGGTGAACTGAGTTATTTGGGTGAAACCAAACAAACCACTTAAGGAAAGGTCTGTGTGGATCTTCACAGGTTCTCTGCCGTGTGGGCACAGTCCTCTGCAGTTGGACCTAAGCTGCTCTGCCTCTGGCTGGTCCATTGTTTTAGTAACGCTGAAGGATGCAGGCAGCACGTCGAAGCATTTCTCCCAGGGAGAGTGTTCATAATCTCGGGTAAAATCCAGCACTTTCAGCTTCGATGGCCTGTGAAAAAGAGGGGCAGATCTGAGATGCTAACTTTCAGGACAGTGTAGCAGGACTGGTATGAGATCAACAGCAGAAACTCTGTTAAGGCATCTATGCCCCAACCACCAGTCCTGCCCTCCCCTGTCTACCACCCCTTCTAAGTGTCATTCTTCTACTTATTTCCCTCCCCCTCAGATTCTCCTCTTTCCCCACCTACTGGGATCCAGGAATGCCACCATCAAGAGTATAAACCTCCATCTCAACTCCCTCAGCAGAGTAATAAGCTCCAAACTACACCAGGTTGTTTCTCTAAGGTGTCACAGTAATGGCCTCAAGGACTGCTATTGATTGATATTGTACCACCAGCAGAGTCTGGCCTGGCACTCCTAAATCCAGCTCACTCTCATTCCATTACCCTGTTTCCTGGCCCATTCTTTTCTATGGTTACCTGTGACATGCAGTGTTGGCAGGAACACATTCCAGCCCATCTAGCACAGCTTCCAACAAAGACTTTGATGGTTTTGTCAATGGTCCCAGATGGAGGCAGGAGAAAGGCCAGACCTGTACCATGGCCTTCACAATCTTTCTGTGACCCCCAGTGAAGGCCGTGGCGAAGAGTGCTGGGAAGAGGTTGGCAGAAAGCCCCTCCAGGGCACTAACAGCTGTCTCTTCGTGACTCAGCAGGCTCTGCGTGGCAAGATCCAAGAGACTGGGAGGATTTCGTCTACTATCTCCATAGACCTGCACGAGGTAATAGAAGAGAGAAGTCCTGAGTGGACTTCATGGTACTCAGCCTCCCTCCACTGAAGTAGGATAACCCACGTCCCATCACATTTCACGGTGGGTCGCCATTTACAGAGCACTGAGGCCCTCCCCCAGTCTATACTGAAACTGTAATTGTCACAAATCCTCAGCTCTTTCTATGCTTCTGTAAGTTCCGGTATCCCTGGATCAGGGTTTTATCTGCACCTCATTGGACTTAAGAGAGTACAATCGTTTCCAAACTTAATTTCCAAAGATCATTATTATCACTTCCAACGTGATTCTAAGGAACACGCCTGAACCACCTATCTGTTACCCCAATCAACATGGTTAAGAGTCAAGTTTCTCCAGTTTTTTTTTTTTGGGGGGGGTAGAACAGGGCTTCTAAACTGGTAATGGTCCACTTTTAAATGTCACAGCATCTTTCTTTCCCTTTCAGTGGGGTGAATTACTACCTGAAGTACCAGTAAGTTCCATTCCAATTTAAAGATGGGAAAACACTTTTTGATAAAATCACCAAGATGTAAACATCTCTCTCTTATGGGGTTAATAATATGTGAGTTAGACCTTTTGATATTTTTCCATAAGTTCTCGATGTTCTCCTCATTTCCTTTATCAATCTAACTTCCCTCTCCTTCCCTGAAAGCTGGCAAAATTTATACTGATCTCTCTTTGATATCAAGGTGCTCTGGTGGCATAGTGGGTAGGACATTCAGCTGAAAAGCAGAAAGTGGGTGGTTCAAACCAACCAGATGCTCTATGAGAGGAAGATGAGGTCATCTACTTCTGTGAAGATTTACAGCCTTAGAAATCCAGTGGGGGTCACTATGAGTAGGAATTCACTTGATGGCAGTGGAGTTTTGGTGTCAACACCACTAATTCTGTTTCCCCAATTCTACTATTGAGAACTTACAATGAATACATATATATATATATTTTTTAAATGGAGCTTTTACCTGGAACAATGAATATTTTAAGTCATGTGTTATATGTTTCAATTTAACAAATGTTTCTATTGAATATCTTTTTATTTCTCTGCTGAAAGCTCCTATCATTCCATACATTTCATGAGTGTTTACCTTTATCTCCTAGAGCATGCTTGAAATAACTGCTTCAGCAAAAACCAAAACCCCATTGCAATCGGGTCCATTCTGACTCACAGTGACCTCCATTGGGTTTCCAAGGTGGTAAATCTTTAAAGAAGTAGATTGTCTTACCATCTTTCCATGGAGAAGCTGGTGGGCTTGAACTGCCAACCTTCTGGTTAGTAATCAAATGCCTTAGGTACTGTGCCATCAGAGCCTTTATTAATTCTAAAATTCGTACCATCTTCCATTTGGTGAACACTGACTGCTCCTCCATTAAAAAATGGTCCCAGTTTCTTGAATCATTGTGTGTGGAGTAATTTGAGATCGTATCCTGGACATTTGGAATATTATGATCACCTCACCTGGTCAAGTGAGTCGTGTGGTAAAGCCAGCACCCTTGACACTGGTCAGGTGGATGTTCAGTCTTTTTCTCCCTCAAACTATTTCAACTCACTCTGTCTGAACTTCAATTCTCTTTGAAAAAGATTCATTCATTCAACTCTTTTCTCTCTGATGTGTGCCATACCAATACCAAAACCAAAACCAAACTCTCTGCCTCTGAGTTGATTTCAACTCATAATGACCCTTTTAGGACAGAATAGAACTGCCCCAAAGTCCTTCCAAGGCTGCAAATCATTACAGAAACAGAATGCCTCATCTTTTTTCCATAGAGTGGCTAGTGAGTTCGAACCATTGTCTTTTTGTTATCAGTCTAATACTTTAACCACTATGCCACCAGAGCTCTTGATATGTACCGCAAGCAGGATAAAATGTGTGGGAATTTGTATAAGAAAGAGAAACCTTAATCTATGGTTTCTTACACAGTTCATAGTTATGAAGTCATGTGTGCCTGTGTTTTAGCTCTAATTGCCTGTTTTCCTCAGAGTGAGATAGGTTTGTGGGCACCAGTGTACAAAAAAAAAACCCAGACCCACTGCCATTCAAGTCGATTCTGATTCATAGTGAGCCCCTTTGGGTTTCCAAGGCAGTAAATATTTGTGGAAGTAGATTGCCCAGTCTTCCTTCC